TGTGTGTTTGCAGAAAACTGGGCTGTTCTGTTCACTGACGGTATACATCTCTTGCTAGGACACACAGATGTGTGTGTACAGTAATTTAATACATAAACTAGAGCCATGGGGTATTGTGTGTGTGTGTTCTTGGAGACTCTCTTTGTGTGTGTGCACCTGGGCTTTGCACTGTGATGATGATATGCTTTGTGCACTGAGAAAAAAAAGAAATAATAATGATAACAGATGAATTTATATTTATAATTGCGTGTATACACACATATGGACTTACACCCATAGTTGTTGTATTTATACGTTTACTAGGGTAAATTGGGCTAATGATTAATACATGATTCTTTGTTTGCTTGTGGTTTGCTGGGTCGTTGTGTGTTTTGCCCTGCACGGTTTTTGGTAATCTGTTTTATAAGAGCAAAGAAAAAAAATAGTAGTCAATACATTTTGTATTCTTATGTACTTGAACACACCAGTATACTTAGTGGTCTGTGAGTTATTTTTCTGCGGTTGGTCCTCTTCTTAATTTGTGTTTTTTTTGTTCACCTTTTCTTTGTTTGGGCGCTGTGTGCTTTCTCCTGCATTGTTGTGTGTTGGAGTGTTTTGTGCGGTGAGAAAAAATAATAAAGAATACACATATGTATATATGTAATTGTGCTTGGTCCTACAGAAAGAGGCATTTTGATGTATTTCTGTGCTGTCTACTTGTGATGGTCACTCTCTTAATGTTTTTCTTTTTTTTCTTTTGAGGGTTTAATTGGGATTATCTGTTTGTTATTGGGTACTGTGTGGGTTTTTACTTTAATTTGGGCATTATATGAGTTATGGTTGCAGCTTTCTGCAATGTGTGTGCTTCTGCTGTAATTGTTGAGTGTTATTTGATTTGGTAATGTGTTCTCATTTTGTGTTTGTTTTTCATTGATTCACTTTGTTTCTGTTTTTTCTATCTGATTTATTTTTCTGTAAGCAATTGAAGTAAGACTACTGCAAGAAGTATTGTATGGTAATGATGCGCTACGTGCTGTGTATCCTCGCTCTCCTGCTCTCATGTGCGTGTGTGCACGTCCTCGCTGAAGAAGTGCCTGCCGCCGATCTTTCCGACCAAGTCCCTGATACGGAGAGTGAGACGAAGATTCTTCTTCAAGCTATTCCTACTACTAAGAATTGCACTAATGGTACTAAACTTTCTGAAGATCGTACGAAATGTCTGGAAGAGCCCGAAGCTCCTCCTTCTTTGGGACCTGAGGCACCAAAAGAAGTTGTTCCTGAGAAAAAAGTACCTGTCACTCCTCCTAAAAAACCTGAAGTTCCTCCTGCCAAAGTACCTGAGGCACCAAAAGAGGTGGTTCCTTCTCATACACGTGCGGAAGAAGATCCTCTACGTGAGACCACACTACCCACTACGTCGACATCCCCCGGTTCAGAACAAAAAGCGACGGACGGTGAACCAGCAGTGACACAACCCAGTGAATCTGAGAGTGGTGAATCACATCCTGGTAGGATTTCAGACAGTACGTCGACAACAGAAAGACAAGGAGAAGAGTCTACTACAGATAAACAAAGTAACGAAGAGGTGTCGAGTAACACAACAGTTAACAGTACAACTGCCGACTCTAATGCTACCCAGCGATCTCCTGAAGCTGCAGGTGCTGCTGCCGCACCAGACTCACAAGAAACCAATTCCACTACTCCACCAAGTCCCGAGAACACTACTACAGAAGCACCAACCACCACTCCATCTCCTGTTCCTGTACCCAACGCAGAGATCAACACTATTGCTTCCACTGTAACGAACAAGGCTAATGTTGACAGCAGTATCAGTCCTGTGTGGATGCGCACTGCAGCACCGCTGATGATTCTGGTTGTGTTGTTCTCCGCTACCGTGTACTGAACGGTGGGACTCTTTTGAGGACAAATAATAATAATGGTTATCCTAACATGATCATAATTGCGTACATCTCCCATGGGTGGATAAAATAATAATCTGTTTACCAGCTTTCTCTTTTCATTGGAATTTCATTTGTTTTTACTTTTGTGTGTGTGTGTTCTTTTTCTTATAATTTATTACTTGCTTTTCCCGTTGTGTGTTTGCAGAAAACTGGGCTGTTCTGTTCACTGACGGTATACATCTCTTGCTAGGACACACAGATGTGTGTGTACAGTAATTTAATACATAAACTAGAGCCATGGGGTATTGTGTGTGTGTGTTCTTGGCGACTCTCTCTGTGTGTGCACCTGGGCTTGCACTGTAATAATGATGATGAACTGCTTTTTGCAGTGAAAAAAAAAAAGAAATAATAATAAGAGATGAATTTATATTTATAATTTGCATATACACATATATAGACTTACACCCATGGTTGGTGTATATTTCTGTGTTTACTGGGTAAACTGGGCTAATGGTTAATATCTGTGTTTCTTTGCTTGATGCTTTTGCTGGGTGGTTTAGCCTTTTTTTGAGATATTTGTGAGTGTGGGACTTTTTTTTTTTACTCTTACTGAGGTTATTACGCTGTATTGCATTCTTTAACTGGTAGGTGTTACTTTTACGATGTGAATTTCCATAGTGGTAATTGATTTGTGTGTGTTCTAACACGTTTGATACTTCAGTTATTTTCTTTTTTTGCTTTTTGATTGTCTTTCTTTCTAGATCAGTGTTTTTACGTGAAACAAATTATTGTCTCTCTCATGATGATGATAATGCGCCGTGTGATGTGTGTGTTGGCCGTTGTGCTGTGCTGCGCCTGCGGGTATACCATGGCGGCTGCTGCTGCTGTTGATAATGACAGTCCCAGTGGCCGTGGTGTATCCCGTGGGGCTGTGGAGGTGTCGTGCGGGGCCGGCGGTGCGCTGCGTGTACGCCCCGCTGCTGAGAGCGAGTGGCTTACATGCGGTGCGGGCAGCCGTGTGTCTGCATGTGGGAAGTACGCAGACCTCTGCCGCCAGCGTACCGCAAGAACAGCAACAACAACAACCATTGACACTGCTGCTCCTGGACAACCAAAGGCGGTGATGGCTGAGTTTTATGGAAGTTATGACACTGCTCTTCTTAAGGAGGAGTGGGACAAAAAACAAAAGGAGAAAGATCTGCTGAAGCAACAAGAGCTGGATAAGCAAAAGGTTACAGCGCCCACTCAGACTCCAGAACGATTACAACCAGAGAATCATCTAAACGAAGAAACCAATGGAGACTTGCGGAACCAAAATAGTGATTCTCCTCCATCTCCGGAGGTTAAACGCCCTGAGGGAAGAGACCCTCCTGTTGCCGCTGCAGCTGAAGTGGCGGTTGGACATCAAGGTGATAGATCCATGGGAGGAAAAGGGATGGGCAGTGAACCGCAAGGGGTTGTAACAGAAGATCCTGCCATTGTTACTGAAGATGCAGAACGGAAACCAGATACTGGTGCGACTACAACGCTAGGCAAAACTCCAGAATCTAATGGTGCTGCCGAAAGTGATCAAGGGGCACTGGGCAGCACAGCTGATAACACTTCACCTGGCACCTCTAATGCTACCAACCAATCTCAAGCTGCAGATACGACTGCACCTAATTCTACTTCTGCTACAGCAGACTCACAAGAAACCACTTCCACTACTCCGCCGAGCACTGAGAACACTACCACAGAAGCATCAACCGCAACTACATCTCCTGTTCCCGTAACTAACGCAGAGATTAACACTGTACCTGGCGATAGTACTACTCAACAACCATCTTCTGAAGGTACGACTACCGTACAAGACTCAGAAGAAACCAATACCGCTACTCCGAGCACCGATAACACTCTCAGTGAAGCACCATCTACCACTCCATCTCCTGCACCTGTAACTAACCCACAGATCAGCAGTAACATCGCTTCCACAGTTCAGAAGAACAAGGCTAATGTTGACAGCAGTGTCAATCCTGTGTGGATGCGCACTACAGCATCGCTGCTGATTGTGACTGTGTTGGTCTCCGCTACCGTGTACTGAACGGTGGGACTCATCTGAGGTCAAATAATAATAATGGTTAAACTAACATAATTATAATTGCGTACATCCCCCATGGGTGAATAAACTAATAATCTGTTTACGAGCTTTCTCTTTTAATTGGTATTTCTTTACTTTTACTTTTGTGTGTTTGTGTTCTTTTTTCTAATAATTCCATTACTTGCTTTTCCCGTTGCGTGTGTTTGCAGAAAACTGGGCTGTTCTGCTCACTGACGGTAGACATCTCTTGCTCGTACACAGATGTGTGTGTGCAGTAATTTAATATACAGAAACTAGAGCCATGGGGTATTGTGTGTGTATTTGGCTCTCTCTATGTGTGTGCCTGGGCTTGCACTGTGATAATGATGATGAACTGTTTTTTGTAGTGAGGGAAAAAAGGAAATAATAATAAGAGATGAATTTATATTTATAATTTGCATATACACACATATAGACTTACACCCATAGTTGGTGTATTTACAGGGTATGTTGGCCTAATGATTAATACATGATTGTTTGTTTGCTTGTGGTTTGCTGGGTCATTGTGTGTTTTGCCCTGCACGGTTTTGTTAGTATGTTTTATGCAGAGAAAAGAAAATAATAGTAGTTAATACAATTTGTATTCTTATGTGCTTGAACAGACCAGCATACCCAGTGGTCTGTGAGTTATTTTTGTGCGATTGGTCCTCTTCTTAATTTATGTTTTTGTTCACGTTTTCTTTGCTGGACGCTGTGTGCTTTTTCCTGCATTGTTGTGTGTTGGAGTGTTTTGTGCGGGAAGAAAAAATAATAAGGAATACATAAGTGAAATTGTAATTGTGCTAGGTCCTACAGGAAGAGACATTTTTGATGTATTTCTGTGCTGTCTACTTTTGATGGTTGTTCTCTTTAATTTCTTTTATTTTTCTTTTGAGGGTTTAATTGGGATTATCTGTTTGTTATTGGGTATTGTATACGTTGTTCCTTTTATTTGGGCACTATCTGAGTTATGGTTGCACCTTTTTTTTCATGTGGGTGTTTCTGCTTTAATTATTGAGTGTTGTTTGATTTGGTATGTGTTCTTATTTTCTTGTTTACATTGATTCACTTTGTTTATGTTTTTCTTTCCGGTTTTTTTCTTTGTGTAAGTGATTGAAGTAAGACTACTACAAGAAGTATTGGAATGGTAATGATGCGCTACGTGCTGTGTATCCTCGCTCTCCTGCTCTCATGTGCGTGTGTGCACGTCCTCGCTGAAGAAGTGCCTGCCGCCGATCTTTCCGACCAAGTCCCTGATACGGAGAGTGAGACAAAGATTCTTCTTCAAGGTACTACTCGTGCCAATTGCACTCCTGGTCAAACTACTAGTGGTGAATGTAATTCTCCTGTTGTGAACTCTGAACATGGTGAGGCTTTGGAGTGCTCTGATGCTGGCGATGAAGTTGATTCTAACTGCCGTCGTGGTGGTGGTGCTATCGCTGCTGTTCCCCGTCCTGATGCCGTCCAGGAGCATCATGGGGAGACAGAACAAACGTTGGAGGAAGCTGTGAAAGAAGGAGAATGTGCTAAACAAAAGAAGGAAGACTGCAAACCAGAAGCCGAGAAGGTGTCAACTCCCGTAGAGCAAAAGCGAAAAGAAGAAGAGCTTAATAACAAAACACAAACAAACAACAACCAAGCGGGAACTTCTTCTGGTGTTCCCACGACTGTACAGAGCGCACAACAACCTGGAAAAAGTCAGAGAAGCGGACAAGAACAAACTGTGAGTAAACCAGAAAGAGATACACCTGGTACAACACAAGTCTCCAGTAGCACGGTTCAGGAAACAGCAGCTGAAGGTGATGCACCACAACCTTCTTCTTCTTCTTCTCCCAGCGGTTCAACCTCAGCAAGTGACGGAGCTGGGGATGCTGCAAGACCTGAGAACGGCACTTCACCTGAAGGGAGTGAGTCAACAAGGAACCACAATGAAGAAGTTATTACAGGAAATACAGATACCACCACCACTACAACAACAACAACAACAACAACAACAACACTTCCACCTGAACTCACAAACAACAAGAAGGGTGATGCAGACAGCAGCAGTATGAGTTCTGTGTGGGTGCGTGTACCACTACTGATTGTGGTTACACTGGCCTGTATTCTTGTGTGCTGATCGTAATGGTGGTGTGACTCAGGTCATCCTTTTTCTTTTTTCTTTTTTGCATGCATCCCTACGGTCTAACTAATCTTCCATCTATTGGATTCTCTTCTTTTTCTTTTTTGTTTCTTAATGCTAATGTGTTTTGTGTGTGTTTTTGCTCTCTGTGTTTGTCCTATAATAATTATTATTGCTACTCCATTGCGTGTGTGTGTGTGTTCTTGGAGACTCTCTCTGTGTGTGCCTGGGCTTGCACTGTAATTATGATGATGAAATGTTTTTTGCAGTGGGAAGGAAAAGAAAATAAAAATAACAGATGAATTTATATTTATAATTGCGTATATATACACACATAGAGACGTACACCCATAGTTGGTGTATATTTCTATGTGTTTATTGGGTAAATTGGGCTAATGGTTAATATCTGTGTTTCTTTGCTTGATGATTTTGCTGGGGCGGTTCAGCCTTTTTTGAGATATTTGTGAGTGTGGGCCTTTTTTTTTTTGTTTTTACTCTTACTGAGGTTATTTGCGCTGTATTGCATTCTTTAACTGGTAGGTTTTACTTTTACGATGTGAGTTTCCATAGTGGTAATCGATTTGTGTGTCCTAACATGTTTGATACTTCAGTTATTATTTTTTTTGATTCTTTGATTGTCTTTCTTTCTAGATCAGTGTTTTTTACGTGAAACAAACTATTGTCTCTCTCATGATGATAATGATGCGCCGTGTGATGTGTGTGTTGGCCGTTGTGCTGTGCTGCACCTGCGGGTATACCATGGCGGCTGCTGCTGCTGTTGATGGTGCTGGACAACCAAAGGCGGTGATGGCTTTTGCTGATTGGGGATGGGATTCATCAACTGCTGAAAGACTACAGAACGAACAGATATTGCGAGTGGAGTGTGAAACTAACCGTTCTGCTGTTAAAGGTAAATTAAATTGTACGTCAGTGAGAAGAACAAGTGTTCCCAATAAACCAGGTTCCAGTGTTAGTCTTGAACAACACGCACAACACCAAATCCGACAAGAAAAAGGGGAAGAAGGTACAGAACTTACTCCGGGTGGCATTCAAGCCAGTGGTTCTGTTAGTAATGTGGGTCGTGAAGTTCAACACGGTCCTGTGGGTTCTGAGAACAACTCTGTTGGAAGCGGAGTTCATAGAGAAAGTACGACAGACACATCTAATACATCCGCACAGTCTACATCTGCAGCAATTTCTTCTGTGAGTCCACCTGCTAATGACAGTCCTTCACCGAATGCAACTCCAGAGACCAGTAAAACTTCAACAGCATCCCCTAACGAGAATACAGGTAGCCAGCAATCGCCTGTAGAGGGAAGTGCGAATGCCGCAAATACAGCTGATAACAGTACATCTGCCGATTCTAATCTTACCCAGCAATCTCGTGCAAATGGTGATCTGACTGCCACTTCAGAGTCACAAGAAACCAATTCCACTACTCCGCCGATCTCCGATAACACTACCACAGTAGCACCAACCACCACTCCATCTCCTTCACCCAACGCAGAGATCAACACTATTGCCTCCACTGTAAAGAACAAGGCTAATGTTGACAGCAGTGTCACTCCTGTGTGGATGCGCACTGCAGCACCGCTACTGATTGTGGCTGTGTTGGTCTCCGTTACTGTGTACTGAACGGTATGACTCATTAAAGGACAAATAATAATAATGGTTACACTAACATTATCTTAATTGCGTACATCCCCTATGGGTGAATAAACTAATAATCTGTTTACCGGCTTTCTCTTTTTAATTGGAATTTCTTTTCTTTTACTTTTATGTTTGTGTGTGTTCTTTTTCTAATAATTCCATTACTTGCTTTTTCCGTTGTGTGTGTGCAGAAAACTGGGCTGTTCTGCTCACTGACGGTATACATTTATTCTAAATATAGACATGCGTGTGTGTGTGCACCTTTTTTTTGTTATTAACTGGAATCGTTGGGATTGGGTGTTCTGTTTTATAATTCTATTACTTTTTGTTTCTGTTGTGTGTAAGCAGAATCTTTTGTTCTGCTCACTGACGGTACAATTGTTTTACTGGTACACATGAACATGTGCGTCGTATTATTTTCGTTTTTATTATTATATATTGATATTTATTGGGTTTTTTAATTTGATGAATTTTTCTTTTTTTTTTTTGTTCCTTTTTTTTTTATAGGTGGTAGGTATCGCGGGGGGAATTTACTTTTCTTCTTCGTGTGTATCCCTTTTTTTTTTCCTTTTAGAATGTTTCGCTGTACACGCCCAGAACAGCACCGTAGCGGAAAAGCTCGTGCTTTTGTGTTCCGTGATCCCACGCTTAAAATGATGCGGGCGGGTAGTGGATATCAACAACTTCGGCGTATGGGAATGCCTGTACAAGTGGGTTTGGGATGGCGGAAAGTTGATAGTTTTCACGCGAATAATCAGTACCAGCATGCTTGGCCGCTTCTTTCTCATGATGATTTGGGAAATAGTGATCAGTCGAATAATACAAAGAA